ATCGTGGTGATGGGGGAAGAGACGAGGGCGCCAGCAATCTAGCCGACGGACATAGCGGAGGATGACATCGCAGCAGCGGCGCGGATGGAGCACCGCGCGGCGGCAGCGGAGCAGGACGCGGCGGCGGCGCGGAAGATGGCACACACGGTAGCAGCGATCGGAAGCAGCGGCAGGCGTACGGGCAAAGCTAGCTAGCTAGCTAGCTAGCAGCTGGATGGATTCCTCTGGATGGATTCCTCTTGTATGTGAAGCAGCAGCGATCGAAAGCGGCGGCTATGCGGAGAGAGGATCGGGCGGCGGCGCGAGGGACTTGCGGCGACGGCCTGACCTGGCTGATACCAAGATGAAACACAGGGTTTAGGGTTTTACGTGGGTGGTTGACATCCAACCTCACGTCTTAATATATAGATGATCACAGTTACAATTACATACATATACAAATACGTGTACAAGGACAATATATTAGACCCTACTTTACATGGTGTGGTCTCTTCTGAGTGGCATCTTAGCTCCAGTTAATCGGATGAGGAGAGGGTGTTTGGTATCTATTACCTCGTGAAGACCTAACTTATCCCAAGGAGAACGGACAAGATAGCACGGAACCCACACACACGCATAGTCAGATCTTCATGGAATAAGATGGGTTTTTCATTGGAAGAGTTTTGAACTAATACATACATTTGGTCACATGAAACAGACAGATACTCACAAGCACAGTAGTACAAATTGTCATTGAACAGCAAATACAACAAAGGATGCACTTCTATAGTTACGTGTCTTATTCTACGGAACTAACATACATGCTATTGAAACTTAAATCCGACCAGGAAACCAACCTACAGCTTACGGGACCTATGCAGTATGAGAAGGCGTTCTGCAACATCTGTCATTGATGGTCTTTGATCCACATCAAGATGAAGACACTCCATAGCAATCTGTGCTAGCTTGTCAAGAATTTCGAAATTGCCTGCTGTTGCAATTTCTGGATCAAACAACTTCAGCGATGTCCCCCCTCTTTGATGACACTCTTGGAAGCTGCACACTAAGCTATTATTGTCAGAGTGAGTGGCCTTCTTCCTGCTAATGAGTTCTAGGATGACAACCCCAAAACTATAGACATCACTTCGGTCGGTCAATCGTCCTGTCTTTAGGTAAACTGGATCCATATAAGTCATGTCACCTATGATGTTTGCAGTTTGTTCCTTGTCTTTTGCAATCAACCTTGATATGCCAAAATCTGAGATCTTCGGCGTAAAATTTTCATCCAAGAGAATGTTTGCTGGTTTAACATCACCATGCAAGATTGTGGTGTGGGTTTGTGAGTGCATATATGATAGACCATGTGCTGATTCTTGAAGAATACTTAGACGTACATCCAAGTTGAGAAGCTTGCTTTTATCCTTGTGAAGAATGTCTTCCAAGCTTCCATTGGAGATGAATTCGTACACTAGCATGGGGGTATCCACTTCTAGGCAACAACCTCTAAGCCTTACAATGTTCTTATGGATGACTTGAGACTGGATAATGACTTCATTTGGAAATTGGTTGTTCTCTAACGCATTATCACCAATTGGTTTCTTTATTGCGACTAGAACTCCATCAACATCACCCTTGTAAACTTCACCAAAGGCACCTTTACCAATCAAATTGTGTTTCTTTAGAATTGGTTTGAGCTCCTCCATTTTGAAAATCTTAATACTTGTAGCATCCTTTAATGTAAGACCACCATTCTTTCGGAAAAAGTCCCTGGCCTCCCGCCTCTCTTTGCGAAGTACATAAATGAATGACAAGAGTGCCAAGACGAGAATGCCACTTATTGCACCTACACGGGAAAAGAATAAAACCTTAACTATGTAATAATAAATATTATTTGATTATTTATTAGTTTGCCATAAAAGATATAAACTTAATTTTGGTGTTCATGCAGCGCTTTAAAAAGCCACAAATAGTTAAAACCTGAATTGATGTGGGTGTATAGGAAATAAACACTCAAATTGATGTGGGTGTAACTTTATATACGCGTAGAAGGACGTACTTTCCCAATAGGACAAAACTTTCGTACAATCAGGTGTACGTAGTATATAGGAATATTTTGGTATATATAGAGAGATAGTCTTTCTGTTCATCACCAGGTGGTTGAATTTTCGTTGAATTCATGTCACTTCACCTATAGTCTCGAACTATACAAACAGTTTGTGTATGTATTTTGATGCGACTGAGAGAGGCGAATTTATACAATTTAATTACTAAAAGCAATGGAATTAACACATGCGTATGTAGTAGGGGTATGATGTTAATTACCTATGGAAATCTGTGCTGCAAGTGGGAACTTTTGAGTACATCGTTCCTTTCTTGGGTCATGGCTCCGATAACCAGCAGGACATTCGCATACGTATGATCCTTGTGTGTCCGTGCATACACCGTAGCAATGGTAGTCGGCCGGATTCGCGCATTCATCTATATCTGTGTTCCGCAAGTTCACAAAATGAACGTTAATTAGGACATTATAATCAATAAAGGAAATAGGTTTGTATGTTTTCTGCTGAGGCTGTTTCGGAAAAAGTGCAATTTCAACCAGGCAGGGATAAATACAAATTGCAATTTGCACTAAAAAATGAGATTGTTCTCGATCAACGCTACTAGGAAACACTCCAAAACGGCAAAATCCCATCCACAGCGCCTTCCCGAACCGAATCATAGCAGCATTAATTAAGCACGGAATCTTACTGGTGCATCCGTCCACAATGTAAGCGTCGCCCTGATAGCCGTCAGAGCACCTGCAGTTATAGCCAGGCCCATTGGTGGAGTCGAGGCAGTCGCTGTGATCACTGACACAGGCGTACTCATCGGTCCTGGCAGCTTGGTTGCACGACAGTATGTCGCCGGAGATGGAGCCGTTGCCGCGAATGGCCCAGTCCAGCCACACCGGCGAGGTCCGGTTTGTGTCCATCTTGAGGTCGGACCGGCGGAAGGTGTAGTTGTTCCTGTCGACGAGGAAGGCGTAGTCGCAGGGGCTGTAGTCCATCATGCTGGAGTGGTCGTAGGCGTTGAACTTGAAGTAGTTGTGGGTGAGCCCCGGTGGGATGTCGACGTGGCAGCAGCCGACGCCGGCGCAGAGGCCGTCCTGTGCGCTGGCGGAGTTGTTGCAGTAGGACATGCACCCGGTGTAGTAGGCGTGTGAGGCGGAGCCGCCGTCGGTTTTCATGCTGGCGGTGTAGCCCATGGTGTCGCAGCCGATGACGACGAGCATGTTGTGCGTGTTGGAGATGCGATACACACCGTCCTTGTTCATCGTCGTCTCCCCGTAGCTGGAGTCCGCGGCTTCGGTTGGGCTGGAGGCGTTGTAGCACTTCCACCCGATGGGGAGCATGACCAGCGACACGTCTGGATGGATCGACAGGTGCTTCACCCGAAGGGACGAGCCGGCGAGCACCGGGCCGTCCTTGGTGCACTCGATCTCGAACCCCTTGCGGAAGCAACCAGTGCCGACGCCGAAAGGGTAGGGGATGTTCACGCCCCCGCAGCTCGGCCGACACCCACGAGTTGTCGTCGTGCTGGTAGCTGCCTCTGCTGCTCCTGCTGCTGCTCCTGCCGCAAGGAGCAGCAGCATGGTCGTCAGTGCCATCCACATTTGCTGCATGCTGACCGGCCGAATGTTGGTTTCCGGCAAAGTAGCGAGTTTTGTATAAGCCCATCGCTAGCTCAACACACAAGTTAATAATGTAACCAACATACTGCCGGGTCAGCAACAGACGTGATCATCAATGATTGTGGCGCAAGTTGCATCTTCACCAAGGAGTGCGACGACTATCTAGACCATCCACAAATCACAAATTTCCTTGATATACGCGATCTTTTTACGTCTAATATATCCCATAAAACAGGATAAGGTAGCCATTTCACCTTACATGACACAAGCATGTTCCTCATGATAATGCGTACACACTTTTAAGTTCTCAATTATTGCAGTTGTTGTCTAGTACTACGAGTATAGTATACAACTTGCATTTTCAAATGACTTGCAGTCCTCCTTGATCTCAATTGCATTCCTGTCGTGTTGGAGTAGTTACAGAATCTTCGGGCAAAGGTAGTTTTTGCCCTGACCGTGTCGATTCAGGACGCCCGATTCTTCTATTCTCCTCCTTGTCCTTGTTAGAATTATTGTACAGGGATAGAAGAGGTGTTTAAATTGTATCTATCTCTTCTTCTCTCTATCTCTTGTAACGACCTTTCCTGGTTGATCTCTTTCTGTTCCTGTCGATCTCCCCCTGGTCGATCTCCTCTTCTGTAACTTGTCAACCAAGACTTTGCCTCAATATATACAACGCGGCCCGAGACAAAGGGTTATACGCTTTCCAAACTACTTTACATGGTAACAGAGCCTCTTCCTCCTCAGATCAAGAGAGATCGCATCTAGCTACCGTTCGCGACTGAGCCATGCCCACCACCTCCGCCTCCATGTCACCCAGCACCATGGGCGCGATCACCACCACCTCCTCCGCCTCCACCTTTGCTTCATCATCCACAACTACCTATACCTTCCTCGGATCGCCACCACAGGAGAAGCTGACAAGGGGGAACTTCCTCCTCTGGAAAGCCATCGTGCTTCCCCAGATCAGGGGTGCCCAGATGGAGCACCATCTTGACGCCACGAGCCCGCCACCGCCGGCCACCCTCACCATCACCAAGGAGGGCAAAGAAGAGCAAGTTGTCAACTTCGCCCGCACCCTCTGGTATGCGCAACAACAACAACTCCAAGGGTTCTTGATGGGTTCTTTTTCCCGTGAGATTCTGTCCCGGGTGGCCACGCTCCAGACGCCGGCCGAGGTATGGCGCGCCATCAACGACATGTTCATCGCCCAGAGCCAGACGCAGGCGATCAACACCCGCATCGAGCTCACCAACCTTAAAAAAGGTAACTTGACCATGGCAGAGTACCTCGGCAAGATCAAAACCCTCGCCGATGAAGTGGCCTGCACCGCCTCGGCCCTCTCCGACCCGGAGATCGTCTCCAAGATTCTTGCCGGCCTCGACATGGAACATAATCCAGTCGTCTCTGCGCTGGCGGCACGAGTGGAACCCATCACGGTTCCGGAGCTGCATAGCCAGCTGCTCAGCTTCGACGCCCGCCTCACCCTCCTCCACGGCAGCGATCTTCGGCAATCTTCTGCGTACTCCGCCTCCCGGGGACGTGGTCGTGGCCGTGGTCACCAGGGTACCAACCGTGGTGGCGGACGCGGCCGCGGTGCCTCCTCGGGTGATGGCGCTCGCTCTGGAGGCGGCCACGGCAACAACTATGATGGCGGCTACGGCAACAACCACGGGGGTGGCGGCTTCAACTCCAACACTGGCCGCCGCAACCCCCCCTCGCGTTCTCGCCCTCGGTGTCAACTCTGCAAGAAGGCTGTCCATGAGGTCATCGATTGCTGGCATCGGTACGATGAAAACTTCGTTCCTGACTCCAAACTAGTCGCAGCAGCTATGCGCGAGCAAGGCAGGGACGGTGTCTGGTACGTTGACTCCGGTGCTACCGATCACGTCACTAATGAGCTCGAGCAACATGCCCTACGTAAGACGTATCACGGCAATGATCAGATCCACACAGCCAACGTTAAAGGTATGGAGATTTATCACATTGGTCAAGTTTCACTTAATTCCCCTAGTCTTCAACGTGATCTTGTTCTTAAGGATGTTCTCCATGTTCCCCAAGATGACAAAAATCTTGCCTCGATGTCTCGTTTAGCCACCGATAATGATGTTTTCTTTGAAACTCACCCTCGCTATTTTTTCATTAAGGATCGGGCAACGAGGGCACCTCTCTATCACGGTAGATGCGTCGGCGGCCTCTACCCCATCTCCTCCGGAGCTCTTAGCAACAAGCATCGTCGCGTCTACTCCATCGTCAAGCCCTCTTTCGAGCGGTGGCATCAAAGATTAGGACATCCCTCATCAATCATAGTGAGGCAAGTAGTCAATAAAGACAAACTTCCTTTGTCACATAGTTCAAATAATGAGTCTGTTTGTGAAGCATGTCAATGTGCCAAGAGCCATCAGCTTCCCTATCCTAAGTCTACTAGTGTGTCTCATGCCCCATTACAGTTGATCTTCAGTGATGTATGGGGTCATGCTCGAGATTCTTTTGGTCGAAAAAATATATTATGTTAGCTTCATTGATGATTACAGCAAGTTCACATGGATTTATTTGCTTAAGTATAAATCCGAAGTCTTTTCAATCTTCCAAGAGTTTCAGAAGCTAGTTGAGCGCCACTTTGATAGGAAAATTATTTCAGTCCAAAGCGACTGGGGAGGGGAGTATGAAAGACTCAACTCCTTCTTTCGTAGCATTGGGATCACTCATTATGTGTCTTGCCCTCATGCTCATCAGCAAAACGGTTCTGCTGAACGCAAACACCGTCATATCGTCGAAGTTGGTCTCTCCCTTTTAGCTCATGCATCTATGCCCCTCAAATATTGGGATGAGGCTTTCATCACAGCTACATATCTTATCAACCGTCTTCCCAGTAAGGTCATTGGCAATTCAACTCCTTTAGAACGATTGTATCATCAAAAGCCAGACTACAACTCTCTAAAAAAAATTGGGTGTGCATGTTACCCCAACCTTCGTCCATAAAATCGTCACAAACTAGAGTTCCGCTCCACACAATGTGTGTTTCCTGGGTATAGTAACCTTCATAAAGGGTATAAATGTCTTGAACCATCTACTGGATGCATCTATATCTCCCGTGATGTTATCTTCGATGAAACATTATTCCCTTTTTCTCTCCTTCATCCCAATGTTGGCGCCTTGCTTCGTGCAGAAATTGCACTCCTACCAGACTATTCAATACATCCTGATCACGGGGGTGAATTAAATGATCATGATCATGTGCAAAAATCCACAGAAAAATGCGTCTCAAATGGGTCTTGTATAGATTCTACTCGTCATTTTATGTGTACACAAGACAAAGGCACAGTCTTCGAGGAGGATCTGGCTGTCAGTGCGTGATCCCAGGCAGATCCGCGGCAGCATGCAGAGCAGGGCGGCACGCGATCCGGCTCAGATTTGCCCCTGGCAGGCGACATCGACAGCAGCCCAGGCGTGGGTCCAGGGGCGGCTCCGGGCGCGCCACGCCGAGCCGACCAGGTGGGTCACGCGGGTCCAGGCACGGGCCCTAGCGCGGGTCCAGGCGAGTCACGCCAAGCCGACCAGGCGGGCCACAGCGGACCAGGTGTGGGCGTGGGTCCAGGCGCGAATCCCGGCGCGCCTCGCCTATCCTCGCCTGCGTAGTCTGATCCGACTGTCGAGCGCGGCACGGGGGGAGTGACTCCTCGTCTGCCACGTCGGTTGATCCGGTGCGCCGCCAGACCGAGGAGCAGCGCGCATCTTCCTCGGATCAGGAGCCGATCCACCTTGCTGGATCTTCTGTGGACGCCGCCGAAACTGCTGGATCCCCTGTGCCGCAGTCCATAGCTACCGATTTTGTGGCTCCTTCACCTCCTCATCGACACACCAGGTCTCGGTCAGGTATTGTCAAGGAAAAACAATATAGTGATGGTACAATAAAGTATAATCCGACTAAGCGTGCCTTTCTTGCCACTACTGGTAAACCTATTAATTTGCATGATGCACTTGCTAGCAAGGATTGGAAGGAAGCCATGGATAATGAGTACAATGCACTCATAAAAAAATCAGACTTGGCATTTAGTACCACCACAACGTGGTTCTAATATAATCGATTGTAAGTGGGTATACAAGATAAAAAGGAAATCTGATGGTAGTATAGACAGGTACAAGGCAAGGTTGGTTGCAAAAGGTTTTAAGCAAAGGTTTGAAATTGATTATGATGATACCTTTAGTCCTGTGGTTAAAGCAACTACCATTTGCCTTGTTTTGTCCATTGCCATTTCCAGAGGATGGAGCTTACGACAACTAGATGTTCAAAACGCGTTCCTTCATGGTGTTCTTGAGGAAGAAGTGTTCATGCGTCAACCACCAGGTTATAAAAGTCATAGCACACCACATTATGTATGTAAGTTGGATAAAGCATTATATGGACTTAAGCAGGCTCCAAGAGCATGGTATTCTAGGCTGAGCATGCAGTTACAACATCTTGGGTTCACACCATCCAAAGCAGATACATCCTTGTTCTTTTATAGCAAAGGCAATATCATTGTTTTTGTGCTTGTTTATGTTGATTATATAATTGTTGCTAGTTCAATTCAAGAGGCCACCACTTGTTTGCTTAAGGATTTAAAACTTGAATTTGCTCTCAAGGATCTAGGTGATCTTCACTATTTTCTTGGCATAGAAGTAAAGCAAGTCAGAGATGGCATAATTCTCTCACAAGAAAAATATACAGCTGATGTTCTAAAGAGGGTGGGATTGGAGAATTGCAAACCTGTCAACACACCAATTTCCACCTCAGAAAAACTTACAGTTGATAGTGGAGAAGCTCTTGGTCCAGAAGATGCAACAAATTATAGAAGTGTTGTTGGTGCTTTGAAATATTTAACACTTACACGTCCAGATATTTCTTATTCAGTGAACAAGGTATGTCAATATTTGCATGCTCCTAGAACTACTCATTGGACAGCAATTAAAAGAATCCTAAGGTATCTTCTGTATTCTCAAGGATTTGG